ACGAGAGAGAGGATATGGTTGTCCCGATGGTTGTCTCGATGGTTGTCCCGATGGTTGTCCTGATGGTTGTGGTTGTCCCGATCGTTGTCCCGATGATTGTCCCGATGGTTGTCCTGATGGTTGTGCTTGTCCCGAACGTTGTCGCAGAAGTTCGGTTGCTCCAAAAGCCCGTTGACAGAAATGTTTAAAAAAGTGTGGGTTTCCTACGAATCCGCAAGAGCGCGCGGGATGAGATTTTGACAATTTTTTGTTGAAAAACCATTGGTTTTTTGATGTTTTTATGTTAAAATCGCTGCGAACACTAAGGTTTTGGAAGGATTTCGTCTTGCGCGCGCGAATGTCCACTTTACCTTATTTTTTGCAAGGGATTCTTGAAATTTGATTATATTAGAACAAGAAATGTCATTTTCTATTGTTTTTTGCAAGGGAAAGCGGATTACAACAAAACAACCGGATCCTGTACACACCCTCTTTTCTGAGGCTTCCTCACGAAAATGATGAAAATGTAGCTGCGGCCTAGGCGGCGCAGGGGGGGCGCGCACCAGGGGCCCCAACAATAATTATTCTTTAGAATAAATAATGTTCAACAACAACAACAACAACAACAGCAACAACAACAACAGCAACAGCAACAGCAACAGCAGCAGCAACAGCAACAACAACAACAGCAACAACAACAACAACGCAACAAGCAGAATCCTCACCACGGATCTGCACTTAAGCCACGCACCCAGGGACAATGAATGACCGTTCGGCCCCCTCACTCTGATATTGCGCTTCATGGCATTCATTCTCGTTGTGTTGCTCTGCGGTGTCTTGCTTTGTTTTAGTTTGCATCGAGTCCGCCCTAGGTTGTTCGTTCCGTCGATGCGCGCTGATATACGCTTGCATTGTTTCACATTGCATCGCATTGCATTGAATTGGCACTGCAATTCAACACAAAAGAAACATGCAATCCAAGCGCACTTCAATGCACTTGCGATGTCAGGGGCTGCGCTACAATGCGCCGCAGAGGGCATCACATCGATCCAAGGAAGCGCAAGGCAGAGCAAACAGACGCACAGAAGCGTGGGCAAATCAGAGCACCAGAACCGCAGCGAGCTGCAGCGCAGAGCTATGCAAACCTGAGAGAGCTGGCTCGTCGTCGTCCGCCGTCGTCGTCGATTCCCTGACGAGGACGGTCCCCTCAAGCAGGGAAGGTGACCACAGCAAAGCAAGGTACGGCGAGGCAGCGCCTCAGCACGTGGCAGCGTGCCCACACGGCTTGGGCACGAGCCCGTCTTCATCTCGCCTCCGCAAGAAGAGCGCACCCAATTTTGGTCCACGTCGCTCTCGCATGATGATGATGACGACGACGATAACGATGACGATGAGGATGAGGAGGGTGTCGTCGTCGTTAGCAGTATCATTGTCGTCGTCGCCATCCATTATTGTCATCAGCATCATCGCCGTCGTCGTCGTCGTCAATATGATCGTCGTCGTCATCATGACCAGCATTGTCATCATCATCATCATCATCATCATCATCATCATCATCATCATCATCATCATTATCATCTTTATTGTTCATATCATCATCTCCGTCGTCGTCGTTGTCGTCATCACCATCATCACCAGCAGCAGCAGAATCACCAGCACCATCACCACCACCTTCCTCCTCCTCCTCATCATCCGGTGGGGTCTGCCTGGCCGCTCCGGGGCCCCGCCGGCCTCCGCGACAGGCCCTCGGGGCACCTCTCCCCATGGGGCCACGAAGCGCGTGAGGGGTGTGTCGAACTTGAAGCGGCGGCACCATGCCGGCGCTGCCACTTGGTTTTGCCTCATTACGCACTTCATCCTCCCCGTCACCATCCGGTGGGCTCTGCCTGGCCGCTCCGGGGCCCCGCCGTCGGAGGGCACCAACTATACACCTACACCGATCCAGCCCAGGCCGATCCTGGGCCCAGGATCGGTGTATATGCATTCTGCCCATGGCAGGAGGGCGTATACACCGATCCTGGGCCCAGGGTGATCCTGGCCAGGATCGGTGTTGGTGTATAGTTGGTGCCTTCCTACGCCGGCCTCCGCGGCAGGCCCTCGGGGAGTACGGCGGCGCCCAGGACCGGCCGCGCGCGCGGGCGAGCCCCTCGCCGGAGGGGCTCCCGCGGGGGCGCGCGGCGTTCGGGGCGCGGAAGGGGGGCGCCGAGCTCGGCGGACCCTGGGAAGCAGGGGGAGGAGGAGGCGGAGGAGGAGGAGGAGGAGGAGGAGGCGGAGGAGGAGGAGGAGGGCGAGGAGGAGGAGGAGGAGCAGGAGGAGGAGGAGGAGGAGGAGGAGGAGGAGGAAGGACGACGAGGAAGAGGAAGGACGAGGAGGAGGAGGAGGAGGAGGAGGACCAGTGTAAACCCAAGACCCATCAACGATGTTGGAATACATCCTCCCTGCAAGCTCCCTCTTCCCAGGCCCCTACAGGGGTTCATTTCCCCTGAGGGAATATATTACCCCATTGGGGGACAACCGTGTGAAGATCCTTCGGCGCGCCAAAACACCATGCTCAGGATTTCAACGGCACGAGTTAACCTGACTGTTACGTTTTGTCGATCCTAGATCGTGCCAGATCAACATTCCTGGAATTTTAAAACCGCGAATCAACGTTACTGTTGCGCTCCGACAATCCTGAATTGCTGCAGAAACCATTCCTGGAAGTTGCGTTAACCATGAGAACCAGTGACATGCTTGCAACTGTTAAGAAACAATGTGCGCGGCGCTCAGGCGAGAGCCACATTTTGAAAAGGAGCCGCCCTCAATCCGTGAGGCTTCTGCAATGCTTGTTAAACGAATGTGCGCAGCGCTAAGGCGAGAGCCACATGTTGAAAAGGAATCGCCCTCAATCCGTGAAGCTCAACTGTTTGAGCGAATTTGCGCGGCGCTATGGCGAGAGCCACATGTTGAAAAAGGAACTGCCTTCAATCTTGGAAACTTGACAGTTTTTTACAACGAACGTACGCGGTGCTCAGGCTTGAAAACGACCTGCCCTCAATCCGCGAAATTCTCGCAAATGTTTAAAACGAATGCACGCGCCGCGAAGGCGAGAGCCACATGTTGAAAAGGAGCCGCCCTTAATCCGGAAAGCTACTGCACATGTTTCAAACCAGTGTGCGTGGAGCCACATGTAAAAAGCCACCCGCCCTCCATCTGTGAAGCTGCTGCCAGCTTGTAAGCTTCATGGTCATATGTGGTGACGAAGTCTCAGACGAAACGCCCAGCCCGCCCTTTCGACAAGCCTCGGATTGCGACAGGGCGGAGTTATCTATAAGGAAGAGGAAGGGAGGAGGAGGAAGAGGAGGAGGAGGAGGAGGAGGAGGAGGAGCAGCAGCAGCAGCAGCAGCAGGCGGAGGAGCAGGAACAGCAGGCGGACGAGTAGCAGGCGGAGGAGCAGGAGGAGGAAGAGGAGGAGGAGCAGGAGCAGGAGGAGGAGGAGGAGGAGGAGGAGGAGGAGGACGCAGGACGCAGGACGCAGCATCGAGCGAAGAACCACCCGCGAACGGGACCCCGACGAATCAGACGAGCATGGAGTGGCACTCGCCGAAACCGAGCATCGTGCGGCGGACGAGGGGGAGGGACCGCGGGCCTGCTCGCCACGCGGCGAGCCTCCCTGCCAACCCCCCACAGCCACCCCCGCCGGCCCCGCAGCTCTCCTCGACGAGGGCCGCGACGCGGCACAGCAAGAGTCCCGCTCCTCGTCAGAGAGCTCCGAGGTGTGGGCTTCCGCCTCCGTGCAGAGGCCGAGCAGGCTGCCGGGCGCCACGCACGCGCCGCGAGGCCAAAAAGCTTCGGCAGCAGCAGCAGGCTCCAGCGGCGACCGGGCCGCACCGGGAGGCCGCCCACCGCCGGGCGCCACAGGGGCCGCCGACCGCCGCGGGGGCAGCCCGTCGGCCCACGGGCCGTCCAGCAGGGGCGGCGGCGGCGCGGCGGGCCCCGCCCGCCCGCCGCCGCGGCCGCCGCCGCGTCCTCCTCGGCCTCCGTCGCGTCGTCGCTGCCGCCAGCAGGGCCGCGCGCGCCACCGGCGCCCGCGCCCGCGGCGGGCGCCGCCGAGGGCGGGGCCCTGCGGGGCGGCGGCGGGCTCCGGGCGGCGGCGCCGCCCGCCGGGCGGCGGCCGCGGCGGACGAGGCCCTCGGCGGCGCGGAGGAGGCGAGGCGCCTCACGGAATGCCGCGCCGCCCGAGAGCCCAGCGGCCGCGTGCGCCGCGAGGAGCGCCCCGCGGGCGGCCTCGAGCGGCGGGGCGGCGCGAGCGCGCTGCGTCGGCGGCATCAGGATGGACGCGGGAGGCGCGGGCGCGACCCGGCGGGACACGAAGCTTGAGCCAAAACCAACGAGGAGGAGGAGGAGGAGGAGGAGGAGGAGGAGGAGGAGGAG